CACACACACACACACACACACACACACACACACACACACACACACACACACACACACACACACACACACACACTTTCAGCCCCGCTCCCCATCTTGCTCTGTCGCTCTGGCGATCTGCTGCGGGCATGGCCCGAGCGCGCCTTTACTTGTTATTATTAATTCTTGCTTGAATAAGAGAGGAGGAGATAAGAAGAAGGAGAGTGGTTGGCGAAGAAGAAGAGCATTATCATTGGTCTATGCTGGTGTGCATCTTCTTCTTCTTCTTCTTCTTCTTCTTCTTCTTCTTCTTCTTCTTCTTCTTCTTCTTCTTCTTCTTCTTCTTCTTTCCCTCTCTCTCCTCTCAAGTTCAATCATTTCTGGTACTTTCTGATGAATGTATACTTCGAAATTGGCCAGGATTGTAACATTGCTATCGGAGCGGATTCTACTTGCTGGTGAGAGTTGACTTTGCCACTCCAACCCTAACCTAAGTGGAGGGCTACCACTTAGGGTTAGGTCTGGAAGTTGAGGGAAGTGGGGCAGTGTGGTTAAGGGAAGCTGCCCCCACCTGGTTAGGTCGTGTTGGGTCGACACTTGACCTAACTGAGTTGTGTGAGAGTAAGATTGGAGTGGCGAGAAACTTCGAGAAGGCTTCATGCGACATTTGGGAGAGGCAACAGTGAGAGGCACTCGCATCTGGAATCTGATTCAAGGGAGACACTTGGCGACTTTAGGACTTCTTGCAAGTTGCTACTTTGTTCTTCAGCATCGGCGGGGGATCCGGCGTTGCACCTTGGTGTTGGAGTCAGACTCTCCTAGTAGATAGGAAACTAGTGTAGGGCCAACCGTTTAATGGGTCAGGCGGACCGTAAGAGAGGGGGGTGAGTTATGTTCATCTCGAAGCTCAGGCCACTCAAGTAAGTGTCGTGCACCTACGGGATGCCCATGCATGTGTGTGCATGTTATTGATTGGGGTTACATTGGTTTCTTTTCCTACTCCTCTGTGGTCTTGATTTGTGAATCTAAGTATGCAAACTGTTTTCTCACCTGATGGATGAAAAGATGAGGTATCTTGCTTTGGATGCCATATGTTTCTACAGTGCATTGTCTCTTTGTCTCTGAACGAATGTTGAGTGTAGGTTCTTTCTGAAGCTGAAATTCGTCTTCCAGTTCGGTAGAGGCAGGAAGTAGGTCCATGTTGGAGTCTTCTTGGTTCGTACTTGGTCACGACCTGCTTGGGACCCTTTGTGTACCCAGTGGGATCAGACCTAAGCAAGAAGGGTCCCTTAGGCGCGAATCTGTTTGACGTTAGATCATTCTTTTTCTATCTGGGATGCAAAGTTTTATTCTTTCGTTAGAGCACTCACCGCCGAGGGGATCTCGGCTAATGTGTTTTGTATACTTTGACCGCACAGTCCGTAGCTTGACTCACACCTTATACACAACTGAATTCTTCATTGTTGCATGACGTTACTCGGTATCTAAATTTGTTGTACGGTCACGAAACTGATCAGATTGGACTCGAGGGGATCTCGTATTCGGTCTGATCAGGCTGAGATGCTCGACCAGAACTCTCATTTGAATTACTTTTATTTTTTTTGTTGCTCTCTAGTCCAAATGTAATGTCCCTCCAGCTTGGAGTTCTACCTTCTTTTCTTTGAGCTTCAATTTGTTTCTTTTTCTGAGTTCATATTTCGATATCCGTAGAGACTCGTGGACAAAAG